AACACCTGAGGAAGGGTCACCGGACCCGAAACGTTAACTCTGTTTTTTCCCTTCACAGATGCTGCCAGACCTGCTGGGTTTTTCCAGCAACTTTGTTTTTGTTCCTGATTTACAGCATCTGCAGTTCTTTCGGTTTTTGTAGAACTTTAGTTAGGCCACACTTGAAATGTTGCTTACAGTTCTGGTCACCATACTACCAGAAGGATGTGGATGCTTTGGAGAGGGTACAGAAAAGGTTTACCAGGATGTTGCCTGCTAAGAGGGATTTTAGCTGTGAAGAAAGGTTGGAAAGACTGCATTTGTTTTCACTGGAATGCAGGAGGTTGAAGGGCGACCTGAAAGAAGTTTATAAGATTGTGAATGGCATGGTTAGGGTGGAAAGTAAGAGACTTTTTCCCAGGGTGGAGGGGTCAATTGCTAGTGGACACAGGCTCAAGGTGGGGGGGTGGGGAGCTTTAAAAGAGATATGCGAGGCAAGTTTTTCACACAAAGGGTGGTGGGTGCCTGGAAGGCGTTGCTGGAGGAAGCAGACACAATAGCAGCATTCAAGAAACACCTGCATGAATGTATGAATAGGAAGGGAAAGGAGGGATACGGATCCTGTAAGTGAAGACAGTTTTAGTGTGAAAGGGCAAAATGCGTCAGCGCAGGCTTGGAGGGCTGAAGGGCCTGTTCCTGTGCTGTATTATTCTTTGTTCTAAAAATGTGTTTCAACACAGAGATACCAAGCCAGACCAAGTTGGCCTCACTATTGCTGGATTTGAAATTAAAATATTCAACGTCCCTCAAAATTGTCCAGTTGTTCTTAGCCAGACTTTATAAATAACAGACCTTGGACACCAACTTAAACAAAAGTTAATTTATAATTGATGCTGCAACTTCAGCAGAGCGAAGCAATCTAATTAATGTCTTTAACAATGATTTAAATCCAAATTTCCTTGACTGTAAAACGCCACAGTTTTTAAAAAAAATTGTTCCCAGGATGAGGGCGTCGCTGGCTAGGTCACCAGTTATTGCCCATCCCTAATTTCCCACAGGGCAGGCATGTGTTGACCACATTGCCGTGTGGTCTGGAGTCACATGTTGGCCAGACCAGGTAAGGACAGCAGTTTCTTTCCCTAAGGGACATGAGTGAACCAGATGGGTTTTTTCGGACAAAAAACAATGGTTTTATTGTCACCATTAGATTCCACATTTTTATTAAATTCAAATTCCAATATTGATTTGAACCCGAGTCTCCAGAATTATAACTGAGTTGCTGCATTGTTCAGCTAATGATAATATCACTTGGCCATCACATCCCCATAGACAGAGAGACACAGTTAAATAGTCAGAAAAAAGAAGAGTTGTAATTTGTCATGTTACTTGAACAGTTTTGAACAATGGTTGCTAAACCTTCATGTAATCCTTGGATAATGAGTTGTTCACAGGCACACATCACTGGCGATCTTGTTTGAATTCTGAAATCAATGGAAACAGCTTCTGCAGACCACTGGATGTGTTACAAACTGGGTTAGAGATAGTAGGAACTGCAGCTGCTGGAGAATCTGAGATAACAAGGTGTAGAGCTGGATGAACACAACAGGCCAAGCAGCATCATAGGAGCAGGAAGGCTGACGTTTCGGGCCTAGACCCTTCATCAGAAATCAAACTGGGTTCTTCTGTCTTTCTCTCAGAACTTCCAACAAGTCAGTAACTGGAGGATAACTAAGGAGAGCAAATCCAAAACCCAGTCCAGCAGCTTTCCAAACTCACGTTGCCTCTGGCCAAAAAAACAAACACTGTTGACAGTCTTAAGTGGACAGTGTCAAATAACAAAGTCTAAGGTATAAATGGTTTATTCACATGCACGCAGGGAGTAGCTCAAAGACTCTCTACCAAGTTTGGTCTCTTCTGGAGTACTGTGTGCAGTTCTGGTCACTCTGCTTTCGGAAGGGTATTATTAAATTGGAGAGGGTTCAGAAAAGAATTTACCAGGATGTTGCTAGGACTGGAGAGTTTGAGTCATAAAAATAGACTGGATAGGCTGCCATCTTCTTCACTAGAGCACAAGTTTTATAAAATCATGATGGGAGTAGATAAGGTGAATGACAAGGTTGGAGGAGTTCAAAACAAGCGTTCATATTCTTAAGGCGAGGAGAAAAATTTAAAAAGTTCATGAGGGACACCGTTTTTACACAGCGAGTGATTTGTTTGTGGAATGAGCTTCCTGAGGAAGTGGTGGATGTGGGTACAGTTACGACTTTTAAAAGACGTTTGGATAAGTACATGAATAGGGAAGGGTTTGGAGGGTCATGGGCCAAACAGATGCAAGTGGGACTAGTATAGTTTGGGAACATGGTCGGCATGGACTGGTTGGACCAAAGGGTCAGTTTCCGTGCTGTATGACTCTAAGTTATAAATAGTGCAAATTTTATGCACAAATTACAGTTTTCTACTCAAACCTGTCAGACAGCCTAACTTTGGTTCATGTTACACATTCTAACTAGTAACTAAATGTTTAAATCTGGGTATCTCAGTGATTAACACTGCTGCCTCAAAGCGCCAGGGACCCGGGTTCAATTCCACCCTCGGGCGACTGTCTGTGTGGAGTTTGCACATTCTCCCTGTGTTTGCATGGGGTTTCCTCCGGGTGCTCCAGTTTCCTCCCACAGTCCAAACATGGACAGCTTAGGGTGGATTGGCTGTGCTAAATTGCCCTGTAGTGTCCGGGGACGTGTAGGCTGGGTGAGTTAGCCATGGGAAATGCAGGGTTACAGGGATAGAGTGGGATGCTTTTCCAAGGGTCGGTGCAGACTTAATGGGCCAAATGGCCTCTATCTGCACTGTAGGAATTCCATGATTCTGATCAGAGTTGCTGTGCGTTCACACGGCTTTACAAGTACAGCCTTGCTACCTTCAAGTAGCCTTCAAGTGCTCGTCCAAGTACTTTGCAAAGGTCGAGGCTTCTCACCTCAATGATCATCCCAGCCAATGCATTCCAGACTCCCACCCACCCTCTGGGTGAAAAATGGTTTCCTTAAGCCCCTTCAAAACCTCCTGCCTTTCACTTTAAAACGATGAACCCCTGTTATTGACCCTTTGAATAAGGGGAGCAGCTGCTTCCTACCCACCCTGCCTATGCCCCTCATAATTTTACCCACCTCTATCAAACTGCGCCCCCACTCTAAAGAAAACAACCCGAGATTATCCATCCTCTCTCCATCGCTAAACTGCTCCATCATGGGCTGCATTCCTTCCAGTACAATTACATCCTTCCTATAGTGTGGGCACCAGCACTATACACAGTACTCCAGCTGCGAGCCTCACCAAAGTATTTAAATGGCTAGTTCAGTTCAGTTTCTGGTCAGTGATTTTGTATCTTGAGTATCTGCCATTAGCTTCCTGATCCCGTTCATCCCTTGACAATCCGGCATTCTGTGGCCTTTTTGGGCCCATCCTTCACCTTTACAGGTACACATTGGCTCTGCACTGTCTCTTCCCCTTTTGAATGTCTCCCACTGCTTCCATGTCGATTTTCCACCAAGTAATTTACCCGAGTCCACTTTGGCCAGGTCCTGTCTTGTCATATTAAAATCGGCCTCACAATGGAACCGTTATTTATAGTCTGTCTTTTTCCTCAACTACAATTAGACATAATCTCACTGATTTATGGTCACTATTCCCCACATGCCTCCTCACCACCACATCTACCAGCACCATACCCTCTCTGGAGGACTTACTGCATGCTAGCTTAAAGAGCTCTCCTGGATGTATTTCCACCCCTTCAAAACTTTTCACACATTGACTCTCCTAGTTAATATGAGGAAGGTTGAAATCCCTACCAGTCTTACCTGGTTGATTTTACACTTCTCTGAGATTTGCCTACATATCTATCTTTCTATCTCTCCCTGACCGTTAGGAGTCTATAGTGTGCCCCCAACAAAGTGATTACCCCTTGTTTTGTTATTACTGAGATGGCCTAATTTTTAAAAAATGGTCAAAGATACTTTGGGAGATCAAATGTTAAGGAAAAGTATACAGTTAATGGCAGGACTCTGAACAGCATTGATGCACAGAGGGATCTTGGGTTCAAGTCCATAGCTCCCTGAAAGTGGCCACGCAGGGTGGTAAAGGAGGCGTATGGCATGCTTGCCTTTATTGGTCAGGGAAGGAGTCAGGATGTCTTGTTGCAGCTTTAGAAGACTTTGGTTAGGCTGCACTTTAGAGTATTGTGTTCAGTTCTGGTTGCCACAATACAGGAAGGATGTGGAGGCTTTGGAGAGGGTGCAGAAGAGGTTTACCAGGATGCTGCCTGGATTAGAGGGTATGAGCTATAGGGAGAGGCTAGAAAATGTTGGATTGTTTTCTCTGGAGTGCAAGGGGCTTAGGGGAGACAAGTTGGAAGTCTATAAAATTATGAGATGTGTAGATAGGGTTGACAGTCAGAATCTATTTTCCAGAGTTGAAATGTCTAATACAAGGGGCATGCATTTAAGGTAAGAGGAGGAAAGTTCAAAGGAGATATGAGGGGCATGTTTTCTTTCACACAGAGTGGTAGGAATCTGGAACGCGCTGCCAGGGGTGATGGTGGAGGCAGACACGATAGGGACGTTTAAGGGACTTTTAGATAAGCACATGAATGTGCAAGGAACAAGAGGGATATAGCATCATGTTCAGCACAATATCATGGGCCAAAAGGCTGGTTCCTGTGCTGTATTGGTCTATATTCTATATTATTCCTCCTTAAGTAATTCACTCTTCCACCAATATTGCAGCACTACCTCCTATGACACATCCTATGTGTCTCAAATTCAGTGAACCAGATGGGCTTTTAAGGCAAGCAGCAGTGATATCATTGTCGTCATTACACATTTTCCTTCACGAAAACAGAAAATGCTGGAGAAACCCAGAACTGGTCTGAAGAAGGGGCACCAGACTCAAAATGTTAACTCTGCTTTCCGGCTCCACAGATGCTACCTGACCTGCTGAGTTTCTCCAGCAAACTGCGTTTTTGTTTCAGATTCCCAGCAGCTGCAGTTCTGTGTTTTATTTCACACGTGCTGCCTTTCCCTTTGTTTGTCTCACTTTCGGTTTGGAACCATGAACCCAAGCTGAGAATTGAACTTCCAGACAGCAGCTTCAGGAGAGAACAGGCAAACAGATGTTTGCTTAAGAGAACTGGCCTGGAGAGATAACGCAGGTTAATCGTCATTGGAAGAGCATTGCAGATGTTCCAATGCTGGAGTGTGTGTTCTGCTCAGTGACTGGCAGCTGGTTGGATGTTGGACAGGTCAATCAAGGGAGGAGCATTGCTTTCCAGCCAATCACAGAGAATGTTGAAACAAGACAGACAAAAACAAAGACCGAACTGTTTTTTTTGACAACACAGCAGTGGAGTTGGAGGAATGCAGCAAGTCAGGCAGCATCAGAGGAGTAAAAAAGTCAATGTTTCGGGTCGGGACCCTTCTTCAGAACTTCCAAGGATGCCCACAATTGAAGAAGTTGTCCTCCCCTCTTGCTATCACCAAACTGTTTTTGGCTGGGGAAGGCTGAAACAAAACATGGTAAAAGAAATGACTGAGTAAACTTGCCTTTATTAGTCAGTGCACTGAGTATAACAGTTGGGAGGGTCATGTTGCAGCTGTACAGCCTTTCAAGGCTACAGGCCAAGTCTTGGAAAGTGGGACCAGTGTAAATTTAGTGTAGCTTTGCCAGTGGAGACTCGACAGGCCGAAGGGTTGGCTGTACAATTCTAGAAAACATTTTAACTGGTCTGTCAGCTTTATTGAATTCCTATTCCGCCATCTGCCTTGGCAGGATTCAAACCTGGAATGGTGCCTGGATTAAAAGTCCAGTGATAATACCGCTAGGCCGCCAACCTCCCCAACCTCATGAAAAGCGTTATTCCGGTCATGATCCAGAATTTCCTGCCTATCGGGAAGGTGAAAATGGAACAATTGCATGGGGCCACTGGCAGTGTTTGGATGAGAGGACCTGATGGGTTGTTTAAGGTCTGATCACAATGAATGTATGAAGAAATGTGTGCTCCAATACAAATCAAATTCATCAACTTCATCGACTTTAGGTACATGCAAACTAATGAGAGACTCTATTCGCTCAAAACACTTTCAATACAGTGCCTTGGCTTTCACACCCCTAGACGGCTGTGGATGACAGGGACATGGAGTAAATTTAAGGAGAAAACAGGCAGATTTTAGTAACGGGTTGAAGGGTTATGGAGAGTAGACAGGAAAGTGGAATTCAGGCCGCGATGCGATCAGCCTTGATGGTAGTAAATGGCGGAGCAAGCCTCAGGGCCTGAATGGTGTTCTCCTGCTCTGAGATGTCATCTTCGAAATGTGTTGATTTTAGATCTACCTGCAGTGGTAGGCAAAACTCTATTTCCCAACCATGATAAAAGAAATGTTGTTCATCTGCTTCTGTCTACCATTTCAGAGGAAACGTGCAGTCCCAGGCTCAAACAGCAGCACCCTCACTGGAATAGAAAAGCCCAGACCCTCCCACTTCACCCACTGTCCGAATGAACACGGCTCAGTCCTGGATGTGATTCTCAGCAGCAATGAACAGCGAAATCCAACTGCTGTCTTCACTGATGAACTCTCTGGTGTCTCCTCAGCTTGCATGACTGGATAAATCCCCTCCCACACACAGAGCAGGTGAACGGCTTCTCCCCGGTGTGAATTCGCTGGTGTTTCAGCACAGTCGATGAGTCCCTGAATCTTTTCCCACAGACGGTGCAGGGGAATGGTCGCTCCCCGGTGTGAACGCGCTGGTGGACCATCAGTCGAGCCGATTGAGTGAATCCCTTCCCACACTCAGAGCAGGTGAACGGCCTCTCCCCGGTGTGAAGTTGCTGGTGAATCCTGAGGCCACCGGACTGAGCGAATCCCTTCCCGCACGCGGAGCAGGTGAACGGCCTCTCCCGGGTGTGGACCCGCTGGTGCCGCCGCATACTGGACCGATCGCTGAATGTTTCTCCGCACTCGGAGCAGGAGAATGGCCTCTCCCCGGTGTGAACCCGTTGGTGTGCCAGCAGTCTGGATAACGTGCTGCTTCCCTTCCCGCATTCCGAGCAGGTGAATGGCAATACCTTGGTGTGAATTCGCTCGTGTTTTTGAAGGCTCCAAAATCGACTGAATCCCTTCCCGCATGTGAAGCAGGTGAACGGCCTCTCCCCGGTGTGAACTCGCTGGTGTGACAGTAGGGAAGAGGCGTGAGCAAAGCCCTTCCCACACTCCGAGCAGGTGAACGGCATCTCCCCGGTGTGAATTCGCTCGTGTTTTCGAAGGCAAGATAACTGACTGAATCGTTTCTCACACCCAAAGCAGGTGAACGGCTTCTCCCCGGTGTGAACTCGCCGGTGTCTCAGCAGGGAAGATGAATGAGCGAAACCCTTCCCACACTCTGAGCAGGTGAACGGCGTCTCCCCGGTGTGAACACGCCGATGACT